GCTTATGACTTAACAACTTTTCCCAAAAAATCAGCCCAAAATGTCAATCTGCTATTGAGTATAGATGTATACAATTTACTGAATGTGCTGAAAAGAGATATTCCTCTATAGCATTTTTTATTTAGAATTTAGAATCAACTTCTTATACAATGCTACAATAACTGCCGTATTCCAGCTGTCTCGAAAAACAGATGAGTCAAATCAATATGTTAAACAACAGTTCAATATAAGGTAATAACACATCCATTGAATGTTTGAAGAATTCAGGTAGTAAGTTATCTTCACCAATTATAACTGACTTGGAAGTTTTATTGATGGCTATGGTAATTTCCTCCTTCGTAATTGGTGAGTTCAGATTACCAGGCGTCATTTCATCAAAGGCAAAGGCACAGTCATAACCTAACTGCCCTCATGATTCATTGTCATTACGCTCGCCTTGAAATAATGCAGTAAAATGAGAAAACCATTCATCCATGGATACCGATGCTTTGCTTACGTTACCAGGTGTGGCCCTCTTAAACGTTCCCTAGAACTCTTTGTAGTTATTGATATTCTGAAGCAATTTTTTCTGGATTAATGTGTAGTATTGCCTCTTTTTATCCCGTAACAGATTGTGATATTTATTCCTGCTCTCAATATAAGACTGTAATGAAAACTGTCCTTTCTTCTTCTGAATATGTGTAACAATCGCTAGGTTTCTAGTCTTAAATATTGACATTCTTTATCAAACCAAGGCTGATCATTTTTAACACACATAGTCTTTATCTTTCACTCAGTAAAATATGCAGCTCAACGTAAAACATCTAAAATCAGTTCTATTCCTTCATTTACATCTGACAAGGCTAACTTAACACATTCATCTAACACATGCTAGCACAATCGTTGCACAATTCCATTGAAACTTGAAGCTGTCATTAGCAAAGTGTATCTCGTGCAGCATTGTTCTTGTTAATTGGAACACGTGACTGAAATGAACCTGTGATTGGCAGGTGTGGTGACTCTGGCCTAGTTTTGATATTGAAATCTGTACAAAGTGTAAACAAGTCGCTTGTTCCTATTATACAATCAATAACACTTGCTCCTGCACTCGAAATAAAAGTGAAGTCACCCACTAAGTTATCGGTACCACAGCGGCCATAAAAATATATATATTAAGTTTAAACGATGGACATAAATCTATCAACTTCTTGCCATATCTGTTGGAAGGGGGCTCGGGTGGCCCAGTCGTCTAAGGCGCCGCGATTCGCTGTGCAGAGTTGCGGCCCTTGGGAACGCCAGAAACCTATGATTGTGGGTTCGAATCCCGGTTCGCCCCGATTATGTTTCTAGGTTTGTCAGCACCATACCCGTGCTCGTGGGTTTCACCGAAGTGGTAAACGTCTGAGACCTGCATCACTTCGGGCTTTCCTCCCACATTAAGCTGACACGCCGTGATATGACTGGAATACTGTTAAAAGCGGCGTTAAACCCAACTCACTCACCCATATCTGTTGGTCGTTCTGTCACAGAAAAACGTTTCATATTCAGGGAATCGCAAATAAAATCACAATATTCTATATTCAGTGCTCTACTCCAATCAAAACTGAAACAATTCCATATTGCCAGAGCACGTCAAGAAGGGAATCTTGCAAAATAGATATTCCACAATGAATATCTTTATACCATGATGAATTTTCTGGATTTATATAAACATATCTTAAAAGTACATCCCTATTTGTGTCAAGAAAATGTTTATCAAGATTCACAGTTGGAGCATATTTTGGAAGACTTCACATTCATTATGAATTCATTTTCTTACTAAGAGGGAAATACCGCCTGAGAGTCTGGCCAGTGTCGCAGTTCTAACAGCACCAACACTAAAATGTACACAGTCACTTAAAACCACAGAGAGATCAAAGATTTATTTATAGAACAATCAACACAAAGAAAGAATCACTTGTGATGAACTTAGTTGACGATGATATTTGTACATTCTGTAAATGCTGTAGTGAAGATGTATCAAATATTTACTATGAATGTGAACATGTCAAGCACTCTGGTGACAGGTTAAAATATTTATCAACAGTAATATAATTTTGAACTTGAATTCACAAAATATACTGTCATGTTTGGATTTTTTACATGTAACCATCTAGTTAACCATGTTCTTTTCTCAGCATTTATTTCTCAAGTATTAATCATCAAAAGTCGTCCTTTGGTGTATTCATTAAAAGACTGAGTGATATTTGTCAAATTGAAAAATATATCGCAAACAAAAACAACCGAATCCTTTGTTATCATAAGAAATACCAGCAACTGACTTCTACTCTCTGAAGCGTTCATAAAATATTTTACCCAGGTACACGACTACTCACTGTCTACTTCAAACATTCTAAACAGGCCTTCCATCAAAAGTTCTACCTTGATTGTAAATGTACTTGCCCACTCTATATATTTGTTAAGATGTAGTTGGAAAAGTAATAAATGTTGTTGTTGTTTTTTAAACAAAGTTGTGTTCAACCTTATTCTTATTGTTTGCAAACGTGTTGAGCTATTTGTTTCGTGGTGGGCAGTAGGGTAAGGCTAAACTGGGTAGTTGTTAGCTCGAATTATTGCAAAATGTCGTAAATATACCCTTTGAAAGTCATACAAAATATAATTCTTAATTGATTCATACATAGTAAATGGCGACACCCTTATTTACAATAACTTGCATTCTTGTCAAACAATACATAAAGTGTTTGCATAGATGTTGGCAATTTATGTCATATATTTTTAACAAAGCTGATGTTAAGAAAAATGTTTTTAGAATCTTGCTCTCAGCATGACGGGTATGCATACCTCCCAAAACTGTGCATTAAGTGCATGAAGGAGATATTTACCTGGTTTCAAACACGCACATCCAAACGTGTGAACAAAGCTCTTGATATACGTCTATCTGTGTTGATGTTTAACTGAGAAAGTGTTTTGAAGACATCATGAACAAAGAAAGGGGCTGGGAAAAGATGGAAAGTGTTTAGTTCAGAAGAGTAAAATGTTATGCGAAGAATGATGGATCACGATGAGCTTGGTTGAACTACGAACTGGTATGTGGGAATCGTTCCAAACAAAGGAGGAAGGGGTATCTTGAAGGAAAACACCAAACAAAGTTCGGTGTAGGGAGTAGGGGAAGGAGAGAAGGAGGGAGGAATTGTACATGGTGAACGATGGAATAGGCATGCAGAATAGGGGGTATGGGGAATGTTACACTGAGTTATGCTAAAAAAATTAGGTTTACTAAAATAATATCTACATATAAGTAGACTACAGACTGGTCATCATATCTATAAAGATTCAATTGTATATTTGGGTTTCGATAAACCCAAAACATTAATACTTTCTACAGACTATGTGATACATTATGTGAATGAAATATCGATTTGAGCACAGGAAGTACCTTGGTCTGATCAGACAGGTTAGGCCCGTGAACATCCGGGGTAGAATAGGTCTTCAGCAACCCATGCTTGCCGTAAAAGGCGACTATGCTTGTCGTAAAGGGCGACTAACGGGATCGGGTGGTCAGGCTCGCTGATGCATGTCATCGTATCCCAATTGCGTGGGTCAATGCTCATGATCTCAATCACTTGATTGTCTGGTCCAGACTCGATTATTTTCAGACTGCCATCATATACCTGGAATATTGCTGAGTGCGGCGTTCAACAACACACCAACCAACCAACCTATCAGACAGGTTAATCATATTAAATCAACAAATTAGTGTTTGTTTGTTTATAGTTATTAACTGTGAGAGAGGTAAAGCACTTACTAAAGGAACGAAAATACATGTATAAGGTGTGTATTTCTATATGTACCCTGTTCTATTACGCCTTAAAGCGACATAAAACTACCCTCATCTATTATTTGTATTCAACCAAAAGTTATATGTTCCATAATTCTGTAAAACCAAAAAGTCAATAGCATCAGTACATATGACATGTATAATTCGATGCGCTGGGTTACGGCCCTTATATATTCCAGAATACCAAGATCGCGGACTCTTTAATTATAATTATCGGCTTGTCATCATTATACCATTTTCGTGGATTTACTAAAGTACGACATTCGAAGATCTGTGTTGCTTTGGGTTATCCCGCACATTGAGCTGACAGGCATGAATATAACTGCAAAAACTGTTCGAAGCGGCGTTAAAACCAACGGATGCATTCTTCAGTTCCTTGATGTCAAAATATTCGCTTTACAGTTTTGATAACAGTTTACTGAATTTTAAAATCAACCCACACACCAGCACGCATCCATTGATAAACAAGATTATACATTGTCAAAATATATTATAAGAGATCCTCAGTAACTTCGTCATATGTACACCAAGAAGTTATTTTGTGCCGCACATTACTCAGGGATGTCAAAGTAGTCAATCCATCCTAAAGTATCAAAATCAATCACTATAATTGTTTTTGAAGCTTATCGAAAAAGAATCTTTCCCCAGCGGAACAAATACAGTTACATGAACAGTATGCAATATATACCTCTTACTCAACATCTTTATTTTTGAGTTTTCCCCAATGTTTTAGAAAATTCAAAATGTTCAAATAGGAATTCTGCCTAACAATGTGTTTCTTGGTAACACAAATGCAGGTGAAAGGTCTTGCTATATTCATTCTCTGTTAGAGAGGTACAGCACTTACGAAGGGAACAAAAATGTGAGATGTGACTTTCGTTCACATCACATTAGCTGACACGCAGGCATATAACTTAACTACTGTTTAAAGCGACGTTAAACCCAACCATCTCATTCTTTCTGTCCTTGATGTACCAGCCACAATATTAGCTCTACCGTTTACTGAGGTTTGAAATCATCCCACACACCAGCAATCAACATCCTTTGATAAAGGAGAACATGCATTGTTAAAATAATTTATTTCAGACATACGGTAACAATAAATAGTTCGTCATATATAGCAAGTATATATACAAAGAAGTTGTTTTGTGTAGCACTTTACTGATGACATTCCTAATTTTCTTCAGCAGATCGGTGATGGAAACATGGACGGGTATGGATACCCTGGGTACATGGGCATGACTGGAGCTGATGGATACGGGAAAGGCATCATGGAATATGGGGCCATGTAACCATATGCGGGTGTTGATGACATGATGGAGGTCAAGGTGTCGGGAGATGGGACTCGGGATCTGCTTCGTGCTCGCTTGTTTTGGAACCACACCTGAAATGAATAAAAACATATTAGGAAAGCCATCGCAACAGATACATGATAGTGTCTGAGAATTTCAGTCCTCATATAAACATAACGTTGGTTCGGTATCAAGCACACGTTGCGTGCATATCAGAATACTATTGTTTACCTTAAGTTTCTTGACAGGGATATCCAGTTCAGCAGACATCGTTTCAAACACCTCGTAGTCCGGATATCTGCTCTCTGAGAAGGCTTTCTCCATGACCCGAACCTGTCTCTGACTGTAACTGGTGCGTACTGAGGTGACGCGGACATTCTTCTGTGGGGCTACAGCTTCGATCGCAGGGGACGTAACACGATGGGTGGAGCTGGTGGGACTCGGGACGGAGTCGCTATAGACACCACTGGATGTGGTACTGGCGGCAGGACTGGGACTGCGATGAGTATGGTCACTGGTGTCACCTGAAAATCAGTTCAGAATATTATGAATCATTTCCATCAATATGAATGGCAATAAATAATAGGGTGATGTATATAACGGAATACAATTATTTCTATTGTGGTCAAAGAAACCTGATTTGACTATTATGATTAATATGATGATGTCACTTACTGTCATCATAATGAACTTGCACCCTCTGCTTGTCGATGGTGGACGCTGTTGCAGTTTGGGGCACAGGAGGGATCTGTGACATCGTGTGTGGGAAGAATTGAGACGGCAAGGACCCCGGGAAGGCAGTGGGGTACGGTCCAGGAAGAAACATTGGATACATTGGGTTGAAAGTCGAACGAGGAACATAGCCCCCTGGGTAATAAAAGGAAGGACTCGGGTACTCCTTGATCACTGTTGCTGGTACTGCTGTGAGTTCTTCTGGTGAATGCTTTGCTCCTATCACATCATGATTTATGGATTCACTGCCATTTGTTGTTGCCTCATTAGCATTGTATTCTGATTTGATATTTCCCTCCGCATCCTCAAATGTAGTATGGAGCGCATCTGTACCGCTGTCATCTGAGCTGTCGCTGTTCTCCGTCTCATCTTTCTTGATGATGTCGATGACGTTGAATCGAGACACACTCTTTTCTGGTGTCGTAGACTCCAGCTTGATGTGACATTGTGTGGGCGATCTATTAATTTCAGGGAACAGACATCTCACAGATGTAGCAATCTACAATGAAGAACATATGTGGCTGACTAACACCATTTTGAACAATGTGATTTACAGTACCACTCAATATATGCATGACCAGCATATGCTTGCTATTAATAGCTGGCTTGTTATACAATATCAGTACTCCTTACTCAATCCATGTCCTTTGAAATGGAGGCAATTTTGGAATGTAATAAATTATTGTATGTCATTTCCACTTATATGTCCAACTGACTCACCTTGTTTTCCATAGTGCAAATGACTATCAGTATAATTCCTTCACAAAGTAACAACTGTTTTCTTGTATCGGGTGAACAGAGATTGTGTTTGGTCACATTAACGTCCTCAACTTGTACAAGATATCGTTCTCAAACTGTTCAGACAAGGAAAACATGTGGATGTGAAGACAAGTCTTACTTACTTACTTACTTTGGAGATTTAACGTGCGCTTTCCGACTGATGCGTATTTCGCACACGGGCCCGGCCAGGCCATTTAATGTGTTTCCGAAAGGGGCGAAGGTGGTCTGTGCAACCCAAGAGGGGGGTTTTAGGGGTTGCTTATATAGAATTTGGGAATTTTGAGATTTGGAATAGATGCCGATGGGATTGGGGAGGAGAACTAAGGGAGCTGGGTATGGTGGATGTTTGTTTGTTTATGTGATTTTGATTTGGTGAGTTATTGTGTTTTTAGATGCGTTTTATTAGTTCCGTTTTGATTAAGAATACGCCTAAGGCCTTGAAGTTTTCTAGTTTATTTTGTGGGTTTAGTATTGCTTCTAGAGTTAGAGCCTTGTTTAGATTGAGGGTGGTTTGTAATGCAGTTCGATGTGTTAGGTAGTGTGTGCAGTGGATGAGTGCGTGTTCTTGGGTTTCTGGTTGTTTGCAGTGTGGGCAGTTACCTGTAGTGTGTTTTTTTAAATTTTTTAGGTGGTTATTTAGGTTGGTGTGTCCTGTTTGGAGTTTAGTGATTACTCTGTCGATTTTTTTGGATGGATGGAGAATTTTTGGTTTGGTTAGTGGTTTGCTGAGCACTTTTTTGATTTGGCTATTTGAGTTTAGATATAGGTTATGCCAATTTTTTGGTGATTTTTTGCTTGTTTACACTTTTAATTTCTGATTTTGAGATGGGTAAGTTTAAGCTTATTTCTGGGATTTTGAGGGATAGTTTAGCTGCTTTATCGGCGTTTTGATTACCGTATATTCCTACGTGGGCGGGTATCCACAAGAAGGTTATTTGTTTGCCTGCCTTAGTTAGGTCGTTGGAGCTTTTAAGTATTTGATTTATTAATTTAGGTCGGTTTTTTGGTATTTTTGTTTTGGAGGGCTTGCAGTCCACTTAGGGAGTCGGTAAGTATTAGGATTTTTTTGTGGTTTTTGGATTCTTGATTATGGAGGGCTGAGGCCATGCCCATTAGTTCTGCCGTGAATATTGATTGGTTGTTTGGGAGTCGGAAGGATTGTGTGGTTTTAGTTGGTTGTGTGGTATGGACTCCGAAACCTGTGTGTTTGGAGGTCGGATCTGAGGATCCGTCCGTGTAAATGTGACACCAATTTGGCCAATTTTCGTGTATGTATGCTAGTGTGGTAGTTTTAGCTATGTTTGGGTCGGTTTGTTTATTTATTTGGCTAGCTAGTGTTGTGTCTATTTTGGGTATTTTAAGTTTAGGGGTGAAGATATTTGATTGTTTGCAGTTTTGTTTAAGATTTTTAATTTGGTGTTCATTTAGGTAGTTTGTTATTCTTTGGGATATTGGGGTAAGTAAGGGGTGTTTACGAGCTAGAGCTTGGTTTTTGGGGCTGATGTTTTGGTTTATTAAGTTTTGGATGAGAGGGTTTGATTGGGACGCGGCCCAGAAATTTAAGCTTAGCTGTTCCCTGCGTAGACTTAGTGGCATTTCTCCTGTTAAGGCCTGAAGTGAGGTGTAGGAGGTGCCATGTTGGGTGCGTGTAATTAGTTTGAGAGCCTGATATTGTATTGAGTCAAGTTTTTTAGATAGAGAGTTGTTTAGGGTGTTGTATATGGCGCAGCCGTAGTCTAGTTTTGATCTAATTAGTGATATGTAGAGAGAGAGGAGGGTATCTTTTGATGCTCCCCAGTTAGAGCCAGTTAGGCATCTTAGGGTGTTTAGGTCTTTACTGCATTTAGTTGTTAGGTTTTGGATGTGAGCATCCCAGGTGAGATGTTCATCGAAAATAAGTCCTAAGAATTTGGTTTGTTTTTGAAATTTGATTGTTTGATTGTTTAGCTGGAGGATTGGGGAGGCGGGTTTCATGTTTTTATGTTTGAATACTATTCCTGTTGTTTTTTCTGAGTTAAGGGAGAAGCCCCATTTGTCAGCCCATTGTTGTATTTTATTAAGAGATTTTTGGAGTAAATTTTGGACCATGTTCATGCTTTTAGTGCGGATCCAGATGGCTCCATCATCCGCGAATTTTGATGTGTTTACTTTAGGGGATAGGCCCTCGAATAGATCGTTTATCATTATATTGAAGAGGGTGGGGCTGAGGATACTGCCCTGTGGAGTACCATTTTCTAGGGGACATTGGTCCGATAGAGTTTGGTCTATACCCACGGTTATTTTACGATTGTTTAGGAAGTCCTGGATGTAGTTTATTATCTGACCTTTGAGTCCTATTTTTTTAAGTTTTTGTATTAGCCCATCGTGCCATACCATGTCGAAAGCTTTAGAGAAGTCAAAGAAGATGCCTGTGGTATATTGTTTATTAAGCTGTCCTGTCTTAATATCTTGTTCTAGTCGGGTGAGGTTATCTAGGGTTGAGCGGCCAGGAGTGAAACCGCTTTGATCTGGGTTTATGATGTTATTTTGGGTTAAGTAATGTTGTAATCTATTTTTAGCCATTGATTCCATTACTTTACATAAGTTTGAAGTTAGGGATATTGGTCTATATGAGTTAGCTTGATTAGCTGGTTTATTAGGTTTAGGGATTGGTATGACTAGGGCCTGTTTCCAGGGAGTAGGAACCTGTCCGTTTAGGTAGATGAGATTGTATAGTTTGAGTAGTGCCTGGAGTAGTTTTAAGGGGGAGTTTTTTAATTATTTGGTAAGAAGTTAGGTCTAATCCTGGGGCTGTGCCCTTTTTCCTGTTTTGGATTACGTAGAGGAGCTCCTCCATTGTGTAGGGTGGATTTATTTCTAGATTGTTATTGTTTGGTTCTTTTGTAGGTTTGTTTTCTGTTTTAAGTTTATCTTGGAATTTTTTACTGAAGTTGGTGTTACTGCTAACGGCCGAAAAGTGGTTGGCGAGATTATTTGCTTTTTGGGCGGGGTTGGTTGAGTTGTCAATGTTAGGGTTTTTTTTATGTCGTTTTAAGCCTCTGATGGCGTGGATTTTGCGCCAGACCGTTCTGGCATCTGTACGGTTATTTATACCTTCGCAGAATTTTTTCCAGTCTCTACTTTTGGCTATTTGGACTAGTTTTTGAACCTGGTGGTTTAGTTCGTGGGCTATGTTTAAATATTTGTAGTCGCGTTTTGCTTTATTGAAGGCTGATTTACGTTTTCGTCTAGTCTGTTCTATTTCCTCATTCCTCCATGGTACCGTCGGTTTGCCTGTCTTAGATGTTTTGAAGGGGATGGAGGTTTTGGCTGCGTTTATTATATAGTCTGTTAGGTTTTTACAATAGGTTTCTGGATCATTATTTTCTATTTCGTTTAAGTTAGCTTCGTTGCAGATATCTTGGAATTGGTCCCAGTTAGCTTTATTGTAATGGAATTTTGGTTCTTGGTTTTCTGTTTGGATTGGTACGTTTGTATTTCCTATGGTTATGTTTATGGGGAAGTGGTCACTACCTAGCGGGACGTCGTGCACTTCCCATTGAGTACTTTGGGCTAGATCTGCGGTGCATATGGTTAGGTCGATAGCCGACATTTTTTGGTTTATCTTATCGTACCTCGTGGGTTGGTTGCTATTAAGGAGTACTAGGTCGTTTGTTTCTATCCATTCGGAGATTAATTTGCCATGATTATCTATTTTATCATCTATGCTCCATGTAGGATGGTGAGCGTTAAAGTCTCCTAGGAATATAGTAGATTTATCGCTTATATGGAGTAGTTTGTTTAGATCCTCAGGTTGGACTTTTTGTTCCGCCCAGTGGTAAATATTTATGATGTTTATGTTTCGGTTATTTAATGTGATTTTAATGCCGTTGGCTTCTAGGTTTGGCGTGTCTATTTTTATTTCTTCGTAATTTATATCTTCCCTGATAAATATGATTAGTCCTCCTGCGGCTCTTCTTGTTTTCGGTTTAGCTCTGTCAGTTCTAACTGAGTTGTAGTTAGGTAGTGTGAATTTGGATTTTTTTGAGAATTTGGTTTCCTGTATACAAGCAATGTGAGGGCCTTTATTTAGTTTAAAGTTAGTTTTTAGTTCATGGCCGTGGGAGGTGAGTCCGTTGGCGTTCCACTGAAAAATATTTAGTCCTTCGAATATTGGGTTCGGGTGATTGGTGATTTATTTTTTATTTTTTATTTTATTCGGTGAGTTCTTTTAGATGGAGGTTAAAGAGGAAGAAGGGAAGATCGGTTAATTTTAGATTGAAAGCTACTTTGTAGAAGGATTTCATGCTAGCTTTTGGTGAGTTTTGACTATGCATGTATGCTAGGAGTAAGGTGAGGTTGTTTAGGTTTTGGGTGTTGGCTGGTTCGGGAGTTTGGTTTGTTTTAGTTGGAGTAGTGTCTATTGTTTCCTCAGTAGTGGAGAAATCTTCGTCATCGGTTAGATTAGGTTTAGCTGATTGAGTTTCCATGGGGGAGGCATGTGATGTGGAGGATTGTGAAGGTGTTTGTGGGATGGGTGTAGCTGATGATTTCATAGTGTTTGTGTTTTGTTGTTGTGCTTGCTTGTGGGAGAGCGTTGTTACCATATGGGCTGTAGGGTGCTTGGATGAGGGTCGTGTTGTGGTGGTCATTTTGAGGTTTGTTTTGCATGCGGGGGTTGATGTTTTGGCTATGTGAGATGTGGGAGGGTTCGTGGTTGGTTGAGTGGCTGCTTGTATGTGTGAGGTGGGTGCGGTTTCTCGGTAGGGGCCCCAGACAGAGCTGTCGGTTATGGGTGTGGTGTTTGTTTGTGGGATGGTGTTTGGGTGTGGTGTAGGGAGGAGTGGTTTAGATGCAGGTGTAGCAAATTTTCGTGTTTGGATTTTAGCCGTGTCTATGTTTATGTGTTTGTTGGCCTGCTGGGTGAGTGTGTGTCTGTATGGGCATTGGTTTGAGAGTGAAGTGTGTTGGGT